CGCCGGCCCGGCCGCCCGCCACCGCTACGAGGTGGTGACGGAGCTGGGCCCGGAGGAGGTACGTTGGTTCTACAAGGAGGACAAGAAGACCTGGAAGCCCTTCATCGGTTACGACTCCCTGCGCATCGAGCTCGCCTTCCGGACCGTACTGCAGGCCTCGGGCGCCCGGCCCGGAGCGCACAGTCGGGATGGCGACCCGGCGTGCGGCCGGGCCTCCAGCTCCGGAGAGGAAGACGACGAGGACCGCGCCTGCGGCTTCTGCCCGCGCGCGGCGGCGGGACACGAGCCCGAGATGGAGGAGCTGGTGAACATCGAGCCGGTGTGCGTGCGAGGCGGCCTCTACGAGGTGGATGTGACTCAAGGAGAGTGCTACCCGGTGTACTGGAACCGTAAGTAGCCGGGGCCCGGGCCGCCCCTGCCAGGACCCCGCCAGCCAGCCAGCCGAGTTGGGTGTAGGACTCGGCCGGGAGGCGCGTGAGGCCTGGAGCGGTGCGGTGTCGGGGTCGGATGGAGAGGAGCGTGCGGGGAGCGCCCGCGGGCGAGGGTGGAGGAGCAGATGGCCCAACCCAAGGCTGCCGGGGGGGAGGTGAAGATGGGGGGGCGGGGGTGCTGGGAGAACGGCGATGGCGGCTGCCATCCCCTGGCGGTGGTCCTGGAAACGAAACCCACCCCACCCCACCTCCCTCCCTCAATCCCAAAGGTTTTCCTTTCGTTATCCGACCGACCGGAGCCCAGTCCGCCACCTCGAAATCGGATTCGCTCCCGTTTACCCTGAACACCTACCTGTGATGGAAGTCTCCCGCGTGGCCTCTGCGGTGGGACTGAGGGCGGCTGCGGGGAGTCCAGAGTCCAGTCAGGGACTTGGGGGGGGGGAGTGCAGCCCCGGCGGGTTCCAGCCGGTGCGTTCCCGCAAGCCCAGAGCGGATCCGCGCGCCCTTGGCGAGGTTCTTCTTAGATCCTCATTGACATGTTCCTTTTTGCCTCTTGACCTTGAAAAATGACAAGCCCTGTACCTCGGGTTTCTCATCTATACAATAGCGGTATTGTAAATGAGAAATATACACCTAACGGTCTTGGAACAGTGCTTGGCCCATGTATGTGATACAAGTGTGGCGGATAGTCCTTAGACAACAGCACAGTTAGGTTTGTGATGAGAGGAAGGAGACAGGGGATGGAAATACCTGTGATCGCATATAGTAGATACTCAATAATAGCAAGCTGTTGGCCACTGATAGTTCATAATATGCAGTATTAATTTTGCGAGCCCCTGCGCTAACTCAGGTGTCTTTGGTGATCGTCATGACCATTCATCTCACTAGTAATTATATGTACTGATGACTTAGATGCCCTTCAGTATGTTTTGTGGCTTATGGACAAGAGTCCATCAACTTTTACCTTTGTACTGTCACAAGGTCTAGTACAGTAGGTATTTAATAACGCCTCGGGATTTAATTGCACTGTTGATTCTGATAATGTGAAAACTTTCAAGACGTTTACCAATTGTACTATCAATTTGTACTATATGCCAAATCAGAAAATAAAATAAACATAGCAGGAAGTTTCTTGCTGCACTTGAAGATGACACCAGAGGCATTTGAAGCTTAAGGCCAAATTAATATGGAATCTGTTACATGACTCTAAGGTTACTAAGTACAGGTTATGCTTGTATGCATTTACTTCTTTTGGATTTACTGAGTAATGGTTTGTGTTTATGCAAGATTCCTGTGATGGTATTTGGAAAGGTGGGAAGAAGAAAAATCTTCATCTTTCAGGGGCTTCCCACCCACTTTGTTTTTTCTTGAAATGATCTAAGCATCACTGTAGACTATTTTTCCCCTGTAGAAGCAGATGGACTTCGAAGCAGATGAAACCAAAGAGTAGGATAATGCAGAACATCCTTGAAAAAGGGACTGGAAACTAAGAGATAAGTCTTTTAGGTTAAGTTAAAAACACTGTGCTCTTTCATGATTAAAAAAATTTTAATGCTTGCATGGTACCTCTAGAAAAAGGAATTTTTGACATGGTTTCACTGTGATAGGAAATTAATGCTAACTGTGAGATACATAGAAATAGGCTCAGTGAAATTTAGTGAATTTGTCAAAGGTCACTGAGCTGAAAAGTGATAAAGCAGTCCATTAGTTTGATGAGGGAGCACAGTACAGTGCCCAAAAAGCTTCCGATCCTTTCAAGGGTGAGGATGTCAGGAAAGTGTCCCAAAAGTGTCTAAGGCTGAGTCCTAAAGGATGAGTTTAGTCTGAGTAATACAGGGAAAGGTATCCTAGAAAGTGTATGGCAGTGCAAGGAAGTGAGCACCACATCTGGCTGCACCTGCAGGGGCCAAGACACACAGATAGCTTGGGATTTGACCACCAGAGATGGAGGTGCATGAGAGCTAGTGTTTGGTTGGGGGACAGGATGGAGCTTGTGAGGGGAGTACCTGCACCTGGCTGGATCATCGGGAGAATACTACACAGGATCGATGTGCATTTCTAAGGAGTTTGAACGTTTTCCTGTGAGTCATGATGAACTAAAAAGCTGAAGGTTTTTCATTACTTTGATCAGTGCCTATGAAAATGGATTGGAGAATAAGAAGTGGAATATCAATGTCAGTCAAGAAATGATGAGGGCCTACAAAGTTATCCTGAAGGATGTATAGAGACTGAGGTACTTCTGTAGTCTTTCCTACAGCAATAGCTACTAAGCCAAGTATAGCTTATAAATGACTTATTAAGAGCAACACATGTTTTGTCTTCATACTAGCATTTTCTGAATAGTTTTCTACAAAACAAAATCGTGGGGTATCCAAAGGCATCATATAAGCTACAATGAAAATAACAGTATTATTTTCAGAGGAATCTTACTCCTTTCTCAGAAAATTCTGTGTTAACTTTGTTTACATTGGTTCTGTAAGTCCTCCTTGGGTCGGAACACAGGCTCTCCATCCTTTCTTCAAATGAAAGAATTCTTAAGATTTTTGACTTTCCCTTATTTTGCTTTTCTTTTTTTTTTTTAACCTTTTAAGATACTTTCTGAGTAGTGGTAATGAAAGGCTTTTTAAGTCCAGCAGAATAGTAGAAGTCCATTGTCCATTTAGATTTTTGTGGCCTAATTCAGCACACTGCTTCTAGGTAAACAAGCTAGCTATATCCAGAAACATCCTAATTTATTTTTCTTTCTGAACTTTACTCACAGATAACATTTGAGGCAATTGGGCATGCGTCACTGAAAAGGGAACAACATTTGTCTCTATGTATAGCTAAAAAGTTAGTATTATGTATGAAAAAGTTGTAGAAATTTATTTTTGTTTTATCTATGTTTAGGTATTCTGGCTACATGTGGACATTTTAGATAAAAACTGATCGTTGCTGAGTAATGGCTAAGTTAACTCCCTGTTATTAGTATTCCTCCTAAACTGCTTTCTTTGAGAGGATTATTGTATGTAACATGTTTAGAATGGTGGTTGTCACATAGTACTAGGTAAGTGTGAGCTACATCTATATGGGCTCTTCTCCAAAAATTGTGTGCCTTCTCTGTAGAAGCTTAAGTTAACCAGTGCAAAATTGTTGAGTAGTCAAAATTGTTACCATTGGCCTGTTCCTCACCAGAGGTGAAAGAATATAGTAGAGAATATTGCCAAGCTAGGCACCACTGGCTTACACCTGTAATATTAGGTACTCAGGAGGCTGAGATCTGGAAGATCAAAGTTAAAGCTGACCTGGACAGGAAAGCCAATGAGACGATGTCTCCAAAGACTAACCAGCAAAAAGCTGGGCTGGCTGCCTGGCTCAAGTGGTAGAGCACCTACACAAGTCCTTGAATTCAAACCCTGCCACCTACAAAAAATATATATGTAAATCAAGGAGGTGACACACCTATAATCACTCAGGAGACTGAGACAGGAGGAGGGCAAGTTCTAAGCTAATGTATGCTTCACAGAGAGACTTTATTTCAAAAAACAATAATATTTGGCCAAAATAACTTAGGCCAAAAGTTATTAATAACTGATGGCACAACATATGGAATATTATAAATAGAACAGTCTCACAAGTCTGATCGCATTGTTGTATTTAGTAGGCACTAGAGAGTATATAATTTACATTCATTGACCAAATGAATCATTTTTAATTGATTTATATATGAACATATATTTCCAGAAGCTATAAACCACAGGTTTCTTCTGCTCCCTGTTCTGGTGTACTTAGAATACTTAATTGCAGTTACAATTTTAAACCATTTCCAGTTTCAAATCCTTTATAAATTCACCACCTGTCTTAATGATACTTTGACATCAAGGGAAATCATATTCCAAAGAAATGAGATAGAAAAATTAGAGCTTTTCTTCTGAATATATGGTGATCATTAACTTGTCATAGATGTAACCATGTTATTTCCTCAAGAATAAGTAGTAATCTTTTGTTAATAATGGAGTCCAGAGGATAGAAGGAACTCTGCCTCCAACAAAACAGGATTATAGTACTGATTTCTGAAAACCTATTGGAGACATTCATCTCTTACATCTTTTAACTACATTATTCCAAACTCATCCAAAGTGGAAAACAGTTGTGGGCTGCATTGGACCTCTGACTCACATTTACAGATGCTGGCAGAAATCTTTTGAAAGCCCACCCCACCCCAGGTCAAGTCTGTTTTTGAGTGTTATTTTGGGAGCCTACTGAAACAGCAAAAGAATGCGAGTTGTTTCTGACATACATGGAGGGCAGGACTTGGCTACCTGGCCCTACTCCATTCTATGCTTGTCTTCCATTGTCATAAGCCAGTTAGCTTAACTGGCTTCATATTATTTATCTACCCACTCAAGTTGTATATGGTTTGAATACATATTTACATATGCTTTTTTATATGTAAATGTTTAGTGTGGCTTTCTTTCCTGTCAAATCTCTTTTCTTTCCTCAGGTACTATTTCGTTATAAAAGACACTTTCTGTACTTGCCCCTCTTCTAAACTTTTCACATCAATTTTTTTGTTTTTTGGTCAGTCATGGGGCTTGAACTCTGGACCTGGGCACTGTCCCTCAGCTCTTAAGGCTAGTGCTCTACCCCTTGAGCCACAGCACCACTTTTGAGTGGTTTATTGGAGATAAGAGTCTCACACACTTTCATGGCTGGGCTGGCTTTGAATCGCAATCCTCAGATCTCAGCCTCCTGAGTAGCTAGGATTACAGGTGTGCGCCTGGCCTTCACACCAATTTTTATGGTTCGTGTTTTGTTGAGATTTTTGTGTGGAATCCTGCAGCTGATCCTTTTTCTAAAGAAAAGAAAAGGCTAATGTGCTGGCCAGAAAAGCTCTCAGGATGATCAACACAAAGGGGAAGCAGGAAGCAAATAGAAGACAAGCAAGAGAAAGGGAAATGGGGAACGTATTCATAGGA